ATATTAATGTATTAAATAAAAAAAGAATGTATCAGTTTAACTCACTGGGTCTCAATTTATCAGACTGACCTCTGTGGGAGAGCAAAGAAACAGAGAAATCATTTTGGAGTACAGCCAACTTTGAGCTGGAAATAAACAGAACAAGTACAGTTTTCATTAATAGATAGTTTTTGTTCTTTTTTTCTTTATTGTTTTTGATTTAAAAAATAAGAATTAACTGTGGGAGGGATAAGGGATGTAAACAATGTTGTAGGCAGTAATGACAACTAACCGCAAAAAGCTGAGTAGCTGAGAGTCGTCCACAAAATATGTTCTGAGCACTAACACATGTACAGTATCAGTATTTAAAACCTTGACATTCAAGGCAACAGGTGCATTCTTTATTTTTATTTTAAATTTCATCTCTGTAATCCGGTACAAGCAGCTAATATTAATACCCATGTTATCTATTTTTTTCTTCATTTCTTTATTGTTTTTAACTTTAATGTTTAGCATTTAGAGTTCAGCAAAATTGTTTCATCTCATATCGACATCAAGGACTGCTGTGACATGAAAAAACAGGCCTTCCATTATGGAATTAATATAACAGATAGTGAGGAACTCAGATTTAATGACACAAGAAATAATATTGAACAAATTAAATGTGGACTTGTTAGAGCTACAGCTAGATAATTGGTTGTTTAATGGATTATTCAGCTAAAAAAAGAATAATTTAAACTGATAAATCTTGTCCGCTATTTTTTTTCTTCTTTTAACTGACACTCTAATTTTCTCAAACATTAAAGTGAAATGGATTTGGCCTTTGTTCGATTTCATAAGATTAATTGGTTTTATAAATGAAACAAGAAGTTTAAAAATGACTTTTTATGCCAAATGATTCTTTTTTTCATATACTAATTAATAAATCATTAAAGGTGTTCTATTATTTAAAGGGATGCATATTACCTGCTGGTCTTGTACCATACTTTCAAATTAAGACCCTTTTTTGAGTGGAGATAAAGTTATGGCTTTCTTTTTAACTTGAAAACATCATCAGGCTCAGTTAGTGCTCAGAGTTTGTGTGGAGGATTAGTCTATAGCCATTTATGTGTTTGCTAAGGTGCTTTTTTAATGTTGTTAACTCTGACAGTTAATCAATTAAAGATTTACACCATATAGCTATTTTCCAAGACTTGCAATCAAATCTGTCCAATGGTTGATCACATGTTGCTAACATGGTAGAAACATGAAGAAAACAAACATAGACACAGATGAAAAAAGGATCGTCCATTATTTTTTTTCTGCAGCGGGTGATAACTACAACCACACAGTGCTGACTGATGCCAGATCTGGTCGGCATTTTATCTGGAAACGATCATCTGGAAATTGCACGATTTTGTACTACTTTCACACCTCTTTTTGTTTGTTTCTCCACTCTGTAAGGTTGAAGAGTGCGCGCTTTATTTGTTCGCTCACAATACATAAAAGTCATTTATATTTATTAGAAAAACAATCACACTTCTGTTTTCATCTTCAGAGGCAACGCAGAGCTGCTGGTGAGGTGTACAATAACGGAGGAACACAAAGTAGAAATGTCTTGTGGGGTGTTATCATTTCGGTGTTCAATGAACCGTCAGAAACTCTGCTGAGAAAAACCTGAAAAAAAAAAAACTTTTTTCTGGTATATAAAATAGCTGGAAAATTGAAGTGGAGTTTACTCTTGTGACCCAGTGGAGAACCCGGTACAAGATTCTGACTGTACAAAAACCTTGAAAAAAAAAACTAAACTAAACTAAACATATATTCTGAACATATTGTATGACAAAATGTAGCATTGGCATAACCTGAAATCAGTTTTTGGCCCAGGCCTAATCTGAACACACTTTTTTTTTAATCTGGTCATGTTACAATCCTGTGTTGTTCCTCTCAGCCACCACCTTTTTTCTTTTCTTTGTAGCACAAGTTAAGATATTTGCAGCTCTCTGTGCAGGTGCAGGACTCCTCTGCATGTGTGTGAGATATGTGTGTAACTGGCCACTCCCGTGGGGTGTGTGTGTGTGTGGGGGGGGGGGTCCACAAATGTAGATCATCTCACTGCGTTATTGATGGGCCCTGTCCCGTACTTCTCCCTTCGTGACCCAGTTCTCGTGCGCTGACACTCCCTGTTCATATCAAGCCTGCAGCTAACACATGTTGTCAGCGCACAGAGGAAGGGGAGATGGAATTACATCAGACAGAAAAGAAAAGACAAGGAGGATAAACTGTATGTTCAAATGTCTTGGTTTGCTTCTTCTTCTTTTTTTTCATTTTAGCTGAAAATTCTGAGTTTCTAGAAACCATCTTATTGCTTAACTTCTTGTCCACCATTGAAATGCTTCACTTATCTTGTTTCATTCTCTTCTGTCCTGTCTCTGCAGAGCAGCTTCCTGGGCAGTGCCACGTTTACAGTCAGGGATCTGCTGAGAGCAAAAGATGAACGACTGACCTTGAGTCTGAGGTAAGAACGTGTCGTTGTTGAGCTTGCTGCTTTCTTTTGCATCAAACATTTAGACCTCAGACTCCAAAGATCAACTCCTGACAGATCAACTTAGATTTGACATCGAGTCGGGGAAAGAAGCCCATACCCGCAGATGTCGGCACAGCAGGAGTGTTGCAGTAGCTGCCAGTGTTATTTGTTTCAGGGATGTTGTGTTACCCTGTGGGAGTATACGCCAATGTGCTTTTCTCTCTTTTTTTTGTTCCATGAAGTGAAGAAAATAAGGATTTTTCTGAGAAGCATTTTTTACAGAATGACTTAGAGAAAAATGACAAAAAAAGATTTGTTCATGTGCATTTAATTAGAAATTAGAACTTCTGTAGAGCCCGTGTTGTCCACAGCAAAGTTTAGTTTTATAAATGTTTGTCCAGCTTTTAAGCATAATGTTTAAAGAGCTTTTCAACAGCATTAATCAACTCTTTATTTAAAGGAATTTTTAGCTAACTAGATACTGATTCGAAGAAAAAAACAGTTGCATTTAGAAAGCTCATAGGCATTGCTCTGGAAACAGTGATATGTTTTATGCAGATGTAATAAAAACAGTAAAAATAAAAACTAGAGATTAGGTGTTTAAGGTCATTCTTGGGATTCTGTGGGATTTGTACTTGTTAGAGATAGATTTTTATAGTTTTGACCAAAGTGACCTATCGACTAGTCTGAGCAGTTGAGAGACAAAAGTGGATTGCGTTCAATAAACGGAAACGAACAACATTGTTTTTGTTGAGAGAATAACCAAATAAGAAAAAAAATATATATACATGTAACCCAGGTGTTAAATCTGAATCTGTCTTCCTTACTCCCTTATTCTGTTCTGCCTTATATGTTCACTTCTGTAGTAAAGTCTCGCAATATTTCCTATACAGTTGGTGGTAGTTCTCATGAGAGTTGACTTTACAGTTGTAGCCAATCGCTGCGGGTCTTTCTGTGGCCACGTGTGGTGTCGCGACCTATCAGAACAGTTTATAAGCGAGAGCGGAAGTATGTGTGACAGGCAGAGGGGCGTGTTGAACGGAGCAGAGCTACAGGAGTCATCTCTCGTGACCACAGTTGAAGCGAATGGGCGTATGTGTGAAGTGTAAACAGCGAAATTGGCCAGGTGTCAACCTGTCGATGGCGAGCTGATGGACCAGGCCTCGAGCCTACCTAAAGTTTATCACACAGTGTGAAGACTTCTACCTCTCTWGTCGGGCTGGTAGGAGGCTCCTTGTAGCCTGCGAACACTTTTCACTCCATTGTTGCTTATTATCCCCTCTAAAAAGGATCTGCATAACACCTTGCAGTCTATGAACTTTTCCCCCCACATCATTGCTGCTTTATGGTTCCCTCCACAAAGGATCTACACAAAAAAACCTTTGCACTTTTTAAACCCAGCTGGGGTTTAATGAACTGAAGGGTTGGGGAAAAGTAATGTTGGACTTGCTTTTATTAATGAAAAAAATCTTTGAATCACTGAATTTTTGTTTGTTTTATTTGGTTATCTTTATTTATGTGCACTGTTTATTTATTTATTTTTCAATGGCCATTTGTTTAAATGTTTATACAAATTATTTAAAAATCGTAAATTTGTATCTGGTTGCACTATAAATATGGCACTGGTAAATGCAAAACCTTCAGTCTCTGTCCACTCCTTCTTAGAGTCGTAATTGTTCTTCTGATCAACTAGCCTATATGAATCCTTTATTAGGTTTTATTTAAACCTTATAATTGCAGTGTATTGGGTTTTAAATAATGCATATGCTACATATATTTTATGAAAAAATTGCTACATATTTAAGTGTCACTTATGCTGAACCTCCCCTTCAATAATTTATGCAACTAAAGTGACATTTCCAAATTTATTTTTATCCTGTTGTTTTTTACATGAAACCTTTCACACATGTTGCTAACTAAGCTGTTATTCAACACTTTGGCCATACTGTTAAGAGTGATCTGGGGGATGAGGATCTAAAACCACCTTCTGTGGACAAGAGAAGATGGGGATTGGAAAGCTACAGTCTCTCAAAAAGTCAGCGAGTTTAGCTCAAACTAGTTTCCATCTTTGAACTCCCACTTTGAACAAAGATCGTGTTAAAGTCAGGTGTGTTTGTGATGATGGCAGAGTGTTAGGTTTCTGACTGAATGTGGAGTCATCCTCTGAAGCAGGTCAAAAATGTTATGTTCCAGATATTTCAGTGACAGGTGAAAGTAATTGCAAATAGTGGGCTTTGGTGAGGATAAAGAGTATATCCTTGCATAAAAGTTAAGGTTGGGAAGGGGTAAATTGGGGGAGAATGCAGTGATGTTGTTTAAGGTGGTACAATTATTAGTGAGCAAATCTAATCTGTTTACCATAAGGTTGCCCAAATGCTGTGTATGAAGTCTGTGATGACTTGTTTTGGAGTCAAACTTTCTGTTTGTAGATATGAAACTTAATTGTTTCACATAAATGTTTCTGTAAATATCTGCTGTCAGCAGGATAAAACTGGCAAAATAAATGAACGAATTTAGGTATTATTGAAAGTTTAAACCCCACTGTGTTCATCCTGTCCTCTTTAGTTTTATTTTCACATTCATTTCAGAAAATAGGAACTTCTGGACAATCTTCTGTCTGTATTTGCTTCTTTTCCTAAGTTGCTTTCTTATGTTGTTGTTTTTTAATTTCCTGTGGGTGATCCAGAGTCACTGAGCAAAATTGCATCTATTTAAACTGACTTTAAGAGCCGCAGTTTGAAAGGAAACTGCAGTCCCCCCTCTGCGTTTGCACATTTCTGATTGTGGATCCACAGTGGAGTGCAGATATTGTTATTCCGGTTGAAGAACACAGAACAGTAATTTTTACTCCCCTGTTGTGGCACTGCTCGGGTGTACAGTATGTCTGACTCATGTTGTTGTTCGTTTGAGTGTGCTTGATTCCTGAAGTGGTGCTTTGGTGCTTACAGCACTGCTGCAGTCATTTTTGAAAACTGAAAATGATTTTTAAATCAACATTGCACCAATATTTTTAGTGATGGCTGTGACTGTACTATTTTTGTCAGAATTATTATGATAATCACCCTCCTTAAGCTGCAGGCTCTGGCTGAGAAGTGGGGTCCAGGAATCAGGGTCAGGAATGGAAAATAAGACATTAGGATTTTGAATTTGTCACACTTTCCTGCAGTCTTTATTCTTAAAGTTGTCTAAGAAAAAAAAACAAATCCAAAACAATCAATAAATAAACATAAGTGAGGCATTTATGTTATAGCGTTTAAAAGTCTTGTTCACACTTTCAGTAATTTAACAAGAAACAATCAGTAGTAATGTCCGTGAGATGTGGTCATTTCAGGCATGGGTTCGAACCATCAACCACTTTCATTTCTGGTCTATTACACATCTTCAATTAATGTGAGCTTTATGTTTTGAAAACAAAAATAAAAAAAATATATAACATGGTGTGTAGACAGAGGCTTTTTTTTCTCGATTGCCAAAGGCCTTCCTTTTTTAGTATATTGTTTTGACAGAAAATTCCAAAATTTGACGATACAGACAGACAACATATTACCAGAATGATAAGCCAGGGAATAAAAAAATAACATGTTTTTGATGAAAGTGTTATTTCCTTTCCAGAGCCAGTCAGCATTTTTATAAATATATAACGTGATGTCAAAACAAAACAAAAAAAGGATGTACACTTTTACTGAAATGTGGAAAGACCACCACAAATCAAAACAAACTTCATGGAAAAATAACAAGCTTGAGAGTCAATATTTGGCAGAACAACTTTTATTCTTCGAAACAGCCAGAACACTAACTTTCTAAACTAAATTGACACTAAATTATGAAACCTTTTTATGTTGTTTGTTTGTTTTTGTGTTGGTTGTCTTTTGTTCCATTCTCTTCCAAAACAATACCTCACTGTTTCAGTAAAGTTAACATTTGTGCTGTAGGGAGTCTGCTCACCCAGGGTGTCGTGATTGTTTTCTATTGTGTGTGTTTGTGTTCTTCCTGCAGGACTGACAGTGTTGTTGGTTTCATTATTGCACCAAAATTAAGCCCCTGTCAGATTCTTTGATAAAGTTTTCCCTGGTTAAGTAAAAATTGCAAGGCTTGTTTTTTTTTTGTTTGTTTGTTTTCTTGCCTATAATTTTGCTCAGCTCTAAAAGGACCCCCCTGCAGTCAGAATGCAGCCCCAAACCATGACAGTATACCTGTTCAGTGTCTTACAGACCTCTGACCTGACCTCCTTTGTTCATAATAAGAATGATTTTAGATCAAATGTTTCACATTTAATTCTTTGTTATTTAATTTTTGCACAGATTTTTAGTCCAGTTCCTTTTTTTTTCTCCGTTTTTCTACTCTTACTTTGCAGATTTGTATTTTTATATCATTTTTCTGCTAAGGACACATACGCATCTGCTGCAATTAGTTTTAAGCTCTGACACTTGTTCTTTTGTCCTCTACTTGTCCCAAATCCCCCCAAAATTTCCAGAACATACTGCCCACTTTGCAGGGATATGCCAAGTTAGTAATAAATAGCTTGTTGAGAGTCACCTTGTTGGTGCAAAACATACTTTTATGCCAGTTAAAATGTTGCGTTTTGTAGTTTTTCTTTGTTTGCTTTTCATTTTTATTTATTTTTTTAATTTTTTTAATTATTACTTTTGTGACCAAGGCAGTGAGAACAAACCAAAAATCTGACAAAAACAATTTACACTAGGTTGTTTTCTGTGTTGTTGGTTATTTTTGACACAATGTGGATTCAGTCCAAGAGTTGTTTTTTTTTAATCATTTTGGTGCCTTTTTTAATTCCTGTGAACATGATCAGGTACAATGATTTAACTGAAAAACAAACAAACGGCCATTGTCTAAAGAAAACTAAAGGATCTTTTAAGACCTGAAGAGCCATTTGATCAGGACCACTTTTGACATTCCTGTTTCTTTTGTGACAAAACAAAGAAAAAAGTGGTGACTTCAAATTTTCCACAACACTGTATCCATGGAAGAGA